GAGCAAGGCAGGAACACAGTGTCATACTTAGACCTGGAGATGGATCCACAGGCCCCCCCAGGGCCACAGCCCACAGCTGGGGTACCCCTCTGGTCTCCACATCTGACGTTCTGCATAGCACAAGCTGCACAGCCTCCATCAGACCACCCTGCAGCAAACCCCTCACTTCCATGGAGATGGACACGGTATCGTTAGAAGGCATCCAGTCAGGATAAGAGCCTCCCAGGCCATGGAGAGCCCCCACACCACCAGGCAGGTTATTCCCCATTGGCCATCTGCTCCAGGGAGTAGTCTTCTGTCAAGCATTGGTCAGGATTTATCCAGTTTTGCTTTCAGATCCCCAGCTCCTCCTCTGTCCCCTGGTGAGGACCAGTCACCTCCAGATAACCTGGGTCATAAATAGTCTTTCCACAGCTGCATGCAATGCATACAGTAATTTTTGGCTCAGCACAGCTTCCCATGCTCCCTTCCCAGTCTGCTGAAGGAGTTAAATCCTTTCAGCTCTCCATGAGCAGCCCAAGACTCTTCCCCAGAGTATTTTTTTGTGTGAAATGAACAACAGGAAGGAAAGATGAGAGATGGAGATGGACAGAAGGACAGTGAAAGGGGAACTTTACCTCCCAGCTGCTGAGGGTCTGGAAGAAGAAGTAGAGGGCAGCTGCCCACACCACTGCTGTGGCCACGATGCAGAACAGGGGGATGGGCAGGAGCTTCTCAGAGCTGCGAAGCTGCAGACAGGGACATAGCCTCACAATGTGCCCCAAGTTCTTCCCAGGTGCATAGGGCTGACACACCAGCCTGGACCATCTGCAACGGTGAAGGGCTGCCCACCCCAGGGAGACACAGCCCAGCCACTCCCAAGTTTGGTGCACAGCATCCCTCCCCAACACCAACACCTTGTCCTACCCTAAGCCCCACAATGCCCTTCCACAGCACCACAGGAACCCACACTGCAGCCAAAAAAGAGGCCCATCCCTTCCCCTTTGGAGACGGACACCCCAGGGATAGCTACAGCTGCCTCCTTTACCTTCATGATGATGTAGAAAGCCAGATACAGTAACAGGTTACAGATAAAGATCCCCAGTATGTAGGAGGCAAAGTCTCTGGGCCGATACACCAGCCCAAAGATAGCACTGAGAGAGAGGGAAGAAGGGACATTAGACAGCCTCTTTCACTGGGGACAGAGTACATCCCCACACTGACCACCACCCACTGCTCCCCCAGACCACAGGACACAGCAACACTGCCACAGCCTCCCAGTTACCTGGAGGAAATGCACCATTCCCCTCTGCTCCCTGCTGAGAAGCAAAGCAGAGCAAACTCAGCCATGGTCAGGCACTGAGAGCAACCAGAGACCCCGGAGGACAGGCGAGGGCCCTGGGTTGCTTCCAACACAAGGCCAAATGCATCTCACTTGGTAGGAGCTGGCCGCAGATCTCTACGATTAATAGAAGGCAGGTCCCTGACAAGCAGCTTTAGTGAAAAGCAAGAGCCTGGGGCAATGATTTTAGGTCTCATCCAAGAGCTGATCCTTCTTCATCCATGCAGTTACTGCTGAGCCAGGCTCTATGACTGTGACTAACAAGCATGTGCCAAGTCTCCTGCACCTTGGCTGCACCAGAGACCTCCCAGCTGTGTAAGAAGCACATGTACGGCACAACACAGCACTGCGGTACCACGGCGGCCCCACACAAGCTCATTCAGACGCAAGCCACAAGAGCACCAGCTGAAATGTTTAGGGATGCCTCACACAGCTCTGTAGCACTGCACTGCATTCTACGGATCTGCCTACCACTCAACAGATCCAGCTCCTTGCCAAAACTTGTCAGAAAGGCCCCAGCACAGGACCATTGCACAGACACTACTGCATTTCCCCATCACTTCAGACCACCTGTGTGTCAATACTGAATCCTGCTGCCCACATGCACAAGTACACAAGACCCCACACCCTACTACTTACAAGGACCAGTTGACCAGGTTCCCAACAATGAGCAGCACCATCCTGTCCTGAAGAGAAGACACTGATGATCATATAAAAGCAGAGGGAAATGCAAAAAGAGGCCTTTGCCTCAGAAATCCAGGATATCATTATGTGAGGATTTGGAGTCTGGTTCCTGCAAACACACATACACCTGGCTCTGAAGTTTGCTCTGCGGGAGCTTTTGCCAGATGGAAACTGCTCTGGCCCTCACAAATTTGAAGAGAGTATTGCAAGGAAACTAAACATCTAAAAAAGGACAACTCCAGCACTTAAGGATGAGCCTCAGGAGGTTCTGCAAATCCTTTGACTGTTTCCACTGTTTTTCTAGTTAGATTCCTTCCCTCCCACCATTTTACAGAAAAATTATTGCACAGAGAAAGGATGTGCTTGAAAGAGGCAGCAGGGGAAGCTTTGGATAGCATCCCACACATATCCACAGAGCCTTTTTTCATCCATCTCACCATTAGCTAGGGAAGTACTGTAAACTACGGCAGGCAGAAGGGTTACATCTGTGGGGCATGTGCATTTATGCTTACAGCTGCTTTCACGATGTAGCTATTTCAGGCTGGCCAGGCTTATTTTATGCCGGACCACACCAAGTTTGCTTGGAAAACTCAGTCTAACACTTACTCAGAGACGGGAGAATAAATAAATAAATAAATTAAAAAAAAAAAAGCAAAGCTCGTGGATAAAAAACTTCATTTGGCTTCGAGCCCTGATTAGCTCTCTGTGCCAAGAAGAAAGTAATCAGTGGGATGCAAGGTAACAGCTACCATTTCTTACTTTTTTGCTGTCTGCCCTGAAGTGCTGTAGAAATAACAATAGCTGTTGCTTTAAGCCACAGAGCCAAAATAGTCGCTACCTTCCCTGGAGAGGCTGCGCTGCACAGAACCTCATACCCATTCCTTTGAACGGATGCCCCTAGAGAGCAAGACCAAAGATAAATCCTATCACGCTTGTCTCACCTTTGCTGTGATGTTTTATTCACCAAGCCTTAGCTCAGGGAAGGCCTGAGAGTAAGGGGTAAACTGCTCCAGCAGAGATCTACACCTAGCCGAACATTTGTGGGGAGCGGGAGGAAGGGAAGCAGGGAGCATCACTTCTTCAAATAGCCACAACTCTTCCCTCTGCACACTGCCTAGATAGTAAGCAATTGCTGAGGAAGGTGCTGAGATGAGAAATCACCTACCATGTACATTGGTCGACTGCACTGCTGGATACAGTCCGTATACAGCACCATCGCTGCCCGTCGAAATATCCCCAAGTCTGCCAAAGAAGAGGATAAAAAGCAAGAACAACCAGCAGAGTGAGCTCTGAAAATGCCTACGGGGAAAAGACGTGGACACCCACTGGCTGACAGCAGAAGACTCAGCCTGCGGAGGGTCAGGATGTCCACAGATTAGCTTCTTGCCATTTGGGAGCCGTCTGTGCTGAGCAAAAGAGCAGCCACTACAGTATGTGGATAGCACTTGGCCAGAATGACAGGTTAAAAAAAACCAAAAAACTCCTTGCCACTGGCACTGCCCAGAAGTCAAATAGGCCCTGTCTATACACATAAACAGACTGGCTTTGCAATTGCATCTCTGGAGAAGTATGTGCGGGAAGGGGGAAAAGAACCTTCCACAGAGCAAGCTGCCAGAGCAGAGAAACAGCAGAAACTCATCCCGCAGTCCTCACACAGTCCCCAAGGGGCAGAGCACACTCCAGACACTCCTGCTCTCAAAATCATTGCAGAAGCTTCACTGGAGAGCCATCAGTGGCAGTGGGGATGGCCAAGCATGCATGCACACACATGTTCCTCTTCAGCCACAAATGTGGAGCTTGAAAAGGCTCCCGTGCCAAGATCAGAGCTCTCCAGTGCTCTATCACCCCCTTTCTGGCAAGGAATGGGACTGGCAGTGCTGCTGGCAAACTGACTTCACTTCCGAAGAGCTGACCCCAGGTGGCACACAAGCCTGCCTCCCCACACACATCCATGCATCCCCAGCTGCTATGTCGCTGCTCAGTCAGTTCAACAGAGAAAAATGAGAGCTGCTGACAGTTACCTGAGTCAGGGCCATCTGAGGCAGACAGGAGCAGAAGAGGAAAGAGAAATATGTTTGTAAGCGGAGCACAAGAGCCAGGTTCCCCACCAGGCCTTCTCCCCCCTCGCCCCATGACAGGGTTTTATGTAGCTCACCGCTCTGAGCACAGCAGTAGGGAGAGCTGTAGCTGAAGGGCAGGTTCCCTCAGAGCCCAGCTCTTCTGCCACCACAGAGCAGACAAGTCGTGCTGACTCCCATGGGTCTGGGAAGCAGCAGCAAAAGGACTTCAAAGGCCAGGAAGAGCATCAGATGGAGGAGAGGACAGGATAACCCAGAACACAAGCACAGGCCACAGGACCATGCTCACAGATGTGCTACATAGGCAATTCACTCAGGTGAGGGCAGGAGGCACCACCTGCACACCCCAGAGTAAGATGGTTCAGTCACAGCACTTACCGATCTTAAAGCGTCCCATGTAGTAGATCTGGGTGCTGAGAGCCAGCGAGGCCAAAACATGGATCATTGAGAAAATGACCCAAAACCACATGTCATTTTTCCCAAACACCTGAAAGCAGACATATTAAAAGCAAATTGAGCCCTGTTATCAGCAGGCTAATCCTTTTCGCTCCTATGTCACCATGAGGTATTAGACAATCTCACTGAACGTGGAAGAGAGACCCCCAAATCTTCCAACCCCAAACCAGATCTATACATCCAAACAAATTCCAGAGAAGCAAGAGGAGCTCAGCACTTCTGGAGAGGAGACGGTTCTTTCTGAATGCCCCTTCAGACAAGGATGACAGCTTGGAAGGACTGCAGCTGGCCCAGGGAGCAGAAATGCAGGGACTCCCAGAATAGGCAAGCTCTCCCTGCTGAGGCGGGCAGCAGCTGTCTGGCCAGGAGCTGGATTTTTATAAAGGCAGTCAGGGAACCAACCATTACTTTAACAAACACACCATAGTAGTCCAAAAAGGACAAAGCTGCTTTGCAGGCAACTGCACCTATTGCACACTTTTGCTTTATTTAAGGACTGGAAGTGACCTACAAATGCAGGTTAATGCTATATTAAAACTTTAATTTTTCAGTTACACATTAAGGAGTCCAGAAACTCTTGTCTGCCATCAGGCTGTGACCATGCACTCCCCTCCCCTGAGGCACAACACTTGCCTGAACATTTCCTGTGTGGGGAAACTACAGCTTCAAAGCATCCCACAAGAAAAGAAACAGCATCTCATAACAAAACGCCAGTGTTTTGAACGTGGATGTGCAGATCTACCACAGCTATCAAGAGATTCTTGGAAAGTCCCAAGTTTGCCAGCTGCTCCTGAATGCCTTATCCCACAGACAGTCTCCTACCCAGAGACCTTTGCACAATCAACTGGTATTCTGCGTTATATGTGGTAGTGAGGGGCTCACAGCCCACTGGAATCTAGCTGCTAGTTCACAGCAAGAATTCAATGGACTTTGCCTGGTTATTGCCAAATGAAACAGAGTCCTCCAAAAAAAGAGAAGCAGAGACCTCCAAGGTAAAGCACAGGTTGGGGATTCAGGCAAACCCAGCTCAATACCTGCAATGCTATGAGCAAATGGGCAAAGCCCTGTACCAGCCTGACCTGTCAGTGACTACTGTGCACAAGAACGACCCTCTTGTGATCCCTTCTGCTCCAGTGCCCTTCTAAAGGCAGGTACTCCAGAAACTTGCCCAGGAGCCCCCCAGCCATTATTCTAGCCCTGCATCTCTCCAAAGATAGCAAGGCCAACTGCGGGAGCTGTACCCAGCAACACAGAGTGTTTCAAAGGGGAGAAAGAGGCACAAGCAATTACGTAGAGGACACTTCGCTTGGAAAATTAGCCAGCCTCACCCCCCTCTTCCAAGGTGAGCCAGCCCACAGCAGACCAGCTGTATGCTTGGTCACTGACACCTGGATACATAAATTTCTCCTCTTGAAGGCATGTGGTTGGTGAAGCCCAAAAAGGAGCCCACCTAGAGAAGAAAACTGCTCTGCTCTTCCCCTCCCTGCAAGCCTAGGAGGAGGAGGAAAACCCAAGAGCACTGGGAATTCAAATGCTAGCAGCTGCTTAACACACTCTTATCCTACCCTGCTGCTCTCCCCAGTCACTTGCCCACTTGAGTTATGCTCCCAGCCACACCATCTCCTTCCCAGAGAAGCAGGTAAGTAAGAGGGAGCCATACCACTCCAAGGACAGCCAGAGAGATGACCACAGCAAATGAGGCATAGGCAGAATAGGCGCTGGCATTGATGTCTGGGTGGCGGGTCTGGTAGAGCTTGAGCATGCAGAGTCCTGCAATCATGTACATGAAGGAAGTGTCTATGGAGGGAGCACAAGAGAAACAGTGAAAACAGGTACTGCCAGTAGGCTGAGAAAGCTGCTCTGAGTCCATATAAAGAAATGCAGCAGCAGGGCAGGCACAAATCCCTGATGCTGCACTACATTGTACAGCTCTCTGTGCTTTGCCATCTTGCAGCACATCTACCATGCTCTGGGGCAACAAAAACTAAAGGGACAAACAAAGAAAGTGCCCACGGTGCAGCAAAGAAACAGGCAGGGAATCACAGAATGGTTGAGGTTAGAAAGCACCTCTGGAGGTTGTCTGGTTCAACACCCCCTGCTCAAGTAGGGTCAGCTATGAGAGTGTTGTCCAGGAGCGTGTCCAGTCAGGCTTTGAATATCTCCACAAAAGACTTCACAACCTCTCTGGGCAACCTGTTCAGTCTTTGAGCACTCTTGGGGGGGGCAAGAAAGAAGTATTTTCCTGTGTTCAGATGGAGTTTGCTGTGTTTTAATTTGTGCCTATTGCCTCTTGTTCTGTGATTGGGCACCCACTGAGTAGAGCCTGGCTCACTCATCTTCATTCCCTCTCATTGGGTATTTACACACATAGATCCTGCCCGAGTCTTCTCTTTCCCAGGAATGCAAAAGAGCCCACAGAGGAAAGTTTCCACTGAGATGGCAGACAGCAGCTTCCTATGCTTGAGCACTCTGCCACTCAGGCTGTGTACTTACTATCTTCAAACACTGGGCTGCAAAAGCAAAGGGGGATCTTGCCAGCAGTGCACTACCAGAGTCCCAAGGTCTGGAGAGGAGGCTGAAATGTGTTAGTCTGCAGCATGCAAAGCCTCACTGACTCCTGACTGAGCCCTGGAACAGGCAGACTCCAGGGAGGCTTGCAGGGTAGAGGGATGGGAAATGCCAGCAACTCAGCTGGAGACAGAGCATGGCAAATCCTACCACCAGCTCAAAAGGAGAAAGAAAACTCAACTTACCAAACTGGAAATTGGAGTAATTAGGGCAGACATGGTAACATGCACTGAGCACCCCTTCCATCATCAGAGCAATGCCCATAGCATAAAAGAGACCAAAATGCTTTGGGATCCCATAGTCCTGGAAGAGAACAGAGCTGTATAGTAAGTACCCTCACTGTCCTGAAGACAAGCAATCTTCCACTCTCCATCACTTCATCCCTCCTAACCCCTACACATGTCCTTCAGTCACCAGTGCAGCACAATGTGCTGTGTGCAACCTTAGGCTCTCCATTTAGCCACACTGCATAGCCAGGTGAATCCACAGGCAGCAAACCCAAGCTAATCACACAGAAAGTTCTGGTCTGAAGACCTCAGTGTCTTGCTACTAACATCTTGAGACTAAAGATCTCTGTCCTGTACCTTGTGCCATGCTACATCCTGCCCAAAATTGAGAGACCACTGAGGACCCAGAATAGCCTTACTCTTGTGGTCAGTAGGGGGTTAAAAGCACCTGAGGAGCAGAGCCCATCAGCCCAGGTGAGAAGGCATCTCCATCACAATCTGGCCAAGATCTCATCTGAAAACCATAAGCAGCAGACCTTTAAAACTGCTAAGGCCTTTACTTGCTACCAAGCCAGTGAAGACAGAGACATTTGTCTCCAGAAACCACCAGCACCACTGCCCACAGGGCTGCAGATTTCTCCATCCTCTCCCAGAAGATACTGAAGAGACTGCAGAAGCTCTGGCTACAAGCAGCTCTGCTTCAGAGCTAGAGGCAGCCAAATTCCTCTGGGTTATTGTAGGCAGCTCTATTCCCTCTTGCTAACAAGAGTGCCAAGAAGGAACTCTTGATTGTATAAGTCAAGTCAACCATCACTATAAACAAAAGCATCTTGGGACACTCTTACTGTCCCAGTTCCTCCATGGAGAGCACTAGAGGAAAAGCCACACCCGCAGGAGTCATTCCTGTACTCATCTCCTTGTCTTTGCAAGCCCAGGCTGGGCTACCACGGCAGTATGGACATACTGTAAGCAGCAAAGTACTGGGGTGTGCAAGAACATAAGTGCCCCACCTAGACTCTTTTTCAGGGGAGGAAAAAAGAGGAGGATTCAATCCTCCAGCAAGGAAGGCAAATGGAAACCCACTGTGTATCACTCTGGCTTTCAAGTTCTCCCTGTCTTTCCTCCCTCCACTCAGCCCCATGCAAGCATGCTTCCTACCAGGGTATAGACATCTTTCATCTCCATGGCCCGACGGTGGAGAATGTCCCTTCGCAACACAATGAGGAGAAAGAGAAAGCCCAGCAGCATGTGGCCCACATTGCTGAGGATGTTATTGAAGGCACTGCAGGGAAAAAGAAAGTTTAAGACAAAGGCAGCACAGCAGCAGGAAGCTGAACCCTGGGCCATGATAAGCTGAATCCATTTCACTCCCCCCCCACCATCCTCCACCTCATCAGCTGCCAAACACCTGCCAGTTTTACACCCTGGATGTCAATTTTAGGTTGAGTAGTTCACCTGCCCCAGTGAATTTAACACTTCCTCTGCAAGATTCCTGACTCCGGGCTTTCTTTTCACTCCCACATTAGTTCAGAGAAATGCTGCACTGAAAGGCCTGATCTGAACTTCTTTGCAGAGCTGCTGCTCCTTGGATACAAGTGAAAGCATCCAAAAGAGCATAGGAGCACCTCATTGCTGTGCCGTGGGTTTGCTACAGGAACCCAGGCACCATATGTTCCTGCGTGCATGTGTCTTACTGCAACAGAAAGCCACTGCTGAGCAAAACAGAAAGCTCAGAGTCCTAAACTCTCAGTGGTCTTATCAACACAGTTACTGTGAGCCTGGCAAAGATAAAATCCTAACCTGGGCACAGCACAAACACTCAGGAGTCATGAGACAATAATGCAGTGACCGCAGGACTCACCTCAGCACTCCAAGGGGATGAGCACACAAAAAGTTGTAGTAGCAGATGTCTTGATTGCCTGTCACATTCACTACCTGGACAGAGAAGAGGTGGGAGACCTGATATTAGCAAATCCTCCCTGTTCTGGGGGTTCTGGGGGGTTTGCTTTGTGCAAACACTGCATGTACACAAGGCATATCAGGACACAGCCTAGCCCTAGCACTGGCACAGGGGAGTACTGACAACTGCAAGTGAGGCTTGGGGGGGGGGGGGGGGTGGGAAAGATGTTGCCACAGGCCACAAACCTGACGACAGTCTTCAGAGGAAAGTGTGCTCTCAACCCCACCACTAATAGATCTGCTTGCAGATATCTGAATAACAGCAGGATAGGAAGGGTGGGGAGAAAGGAGGAGAAATCACTCCTATCACAGCAAACCCTACTTGCTTTCAGTTGTCTTTTAGAGATAACAGCAGATTCGTCCTGCCTCTAAAATGAAACAGGCCCCAAATGAGGCATCAGATGATCAGGAAAACAGCTGCACTCCCACTTCCCAAGCAAAAATAGCAGACCTGCAAGCTCAGTGAGCCAAGCCAGTAGCAACACTAAACACATGGTGCAGAGAGAGCAGCTAAGGTAAACTGCCCCTCAGAGAGCAGGATTCCTGGGTGATTGCAGTTTCACTGCAATTGTCATCCTTACACCATGCAACCACAGAGCAAGTTTAAAGGCAAGAGTACCCAAGCATGGGGGATAGCCACACAAAGCCCAACGCACCGTCTGGTAAGTGATGACGAGCTGGATGACCGGCAGGGCATAAAACACTGCAATGGTGATAATGTTCCTGCAGAGAGGAGACAGTAGCAGCAGTTACACGCACCAAAACAACTGGTGCACACCCAGGACAGAGCCCCACAGTGCTTGTGGAGGAATGCATGCAACTCAGTGCCTAAGGGCACAGACCCTGCTCTTCCAGCCAGAGCTTTATACCTCTGGTTATGATCTCCTGAAGCAGAAGAGCCAATGTGCTAATGCAAACAGGAGGCAAATGCTAAAGGCACAAGAAAAGCCAGGATGTGGACCACGAGCTCATGTGTTTGGAGTGCCAAATTCTCACCTTCCCCAGTATGTTCCAGCACAGTGGTTGTTACCACACTTTAAACCAATTGTGCAAACCAGAATCCACTGGTCCACAAGTATCGTTATTTGAGGTGTGTGGGATCTGCAGTTACTGGTTGGAACAGGGTCAGAATGTGTTACAGGATGGCTCAAAGAATATCCTCAGGTCTAAAGTGTAGTTCGGAAGAAGGGCATGTGGACAGACTCCACAACCAGAGACTGGGTCCAGAGCTTGGGCCTTACCAGTTTGTCTTCTCCTTACCAGAAATAGATTTTGTATTTTTTGCTGACAATCCTCCGGTCCTTCCTGGACAAGTCTGATAGATAGAGGAACACCTAAAACATTAGTGGGTGGGGAAAGAGGGAAGAAAATAGAAAAGAACTAATAAAGACTACAGAAGCCAGTAGAAGATCTTGGTGTATTTAGACAATATGCAGCTTGGTGCTAGTTGGACCATTTTTTACAATGAGCTCATTGTGTCCCTTGATTCTGTGCAGAATGAGTTCTGCAAAACCCTCTGATCTCCAGGAATGGCTCTCACCACACAGAGCAGTGCAGAGTGACAAAAGGAGGCAGTTTGAGAGCTGCTAGCTTAAAGCCCCTCTGTACATCCACTGCAGTCACACTACTCGTACCAGGTAACTATCCACTATTGCACATTATTTTCTCCCTATCCTGTCCCACCTCCTTGGACTTTCTGGGACACTCTGGGCTTCTCCCTCCTTTCTCAAAAGTCCCCGATACATTCTGATTTTCCATATTAAATCACTCATTTCAGCAGCACACTTAGCACAGCAAGAAAACTTTCTAGATTTTGAAAAAGCACTAAGAAGCACATTTGGCTTTATTAGATTAAATCCACCTAAAAGGGAAGCAGAAACTTAAAAACCCTGGCAAGTGACTAGTACTGGTCCTGGCTCAGATGTATCCATGGCCCAGCATCATGGCCATAGCTGCAACACCAGCCATACCTTAGTGCGGATGACGTTCTTATCACTTTCAATTTCTGGCATGGTGTCAAAGTCACTCTCCTCCTCCACAGAGCTGTCTGTGTCAGAACCAGCTGGTGGCCTGCGCTCAGGGGAAGACAACTGATGTCCACCACTGGAGCTTGACTCGTCTGGAGCAGAGCGGGGAGAAGGAAACAGGCAGGGTAAAGGCTAAATCCCTCTATGCACAGCAATAAGAAAGCTGCCCCAAATATCAGCTGCAATCTGCTGGGACACGTTGTCATGGCCATTTCAGGGAACAAGTTTTTCCATGATTACAAACCTTCCTAAAAGTCTCAGATATCAGCTAAGAGCACTTTCAAGGACCATCTTCTCCCTCTGCAGATTTTTGGTTTTTGCCCTGCTTTTATTCTGTTACTTTTTATCTCTGGCATTTTCTACTCTTTACTAGCTTGGGCTCTGAAATCTGGAAGTCTGAGACAAGCCAGAAAGCCCTAGTGAAAGCAGCTGACTGTTCAGAGGTCAGAAACAGGCTGACCTGGTTAATATCCAGATTTTTATATAAGCTTTATATATATAAGCTTTTCTAAAAATGTTGTAGAACAAAAGACAAAGAAGAAAGTCACTTTTTCAAAGCAGGCAGAGCATTAGCTTTGCTCCCATTGCATGCACGGTACCGGTCACCTGCAGGTCAGCAGGACCTGCCTGCACTTCCCACAGGCTGACCAAGCTCCCAGCCAGCCCACTGCCCATACAGGCATGAGCAGAACACAAGTTTCTTCCTCGTTTCCCAAATGATTTTAAAGCATTTCCTAGTGAATTGGGGAGGAGGGATAGGGTGGTGCAGAAGCCCTCAACTCTATTCCAGGACTTGAATCCTCCTGAATTTTTCCCAAACCTCATGAAATATCAGTTCTGTGTTTCTTTGTCAGGCATTCAGAGATACCACACCTTCACAGTCCAACAAATGGGTGACATCTGGACTGTCAGGGCTGTCTTTACAGCACAGTGAGCAAATGCATCCTGAGCTGGGACCAAAAGTTATACAGAGCTGCTCTCCTCTCTCATTTGAGCAGCAGCCTCATGCTGCCCTGGACCTGCACCACCTCACCCTGCAACCTGGGTCCCCAAGCTGTCAAATTCAAGGATTATGCCCAAAAGTCCACAGCACTGAGCTATTCAATACCAATCTCTCCATAGGAGGGAAAACTGTTGTAAAGAGACTAAGAATACTCTGGCAAAGGAAGGCATTTCCCATCATCTCAGATTAGCAGGATCCTTGGGAGTTTTTTTTTCTCTCTTCTGCTGCCAGGGCATGGTTCACCTCTTGACAGCATGACATTATTTCTCACCTAATGAAACCTTTAGACTGCAAAAAGCTCTGATTCTGTCTTGCCTTGCGGCACACAACCCTTCAGCCCTCCAGTGAAAGGCATGCTTGGTCTAAATGCAGGCTTGATGAGCTAATAAGAGACTCCTAGAAGCTTGGTTGGAAGTGACCTTTGTCAGTCCCTAGTCAGCCTCCCGCACGAAGCAGCATTGTCACCAATGCTTATCAGGTGACTGTGGCTTTGTCTAGCTGAGATGAACACTTCCAATGACAGTCTCACAGGGCACCTCTTCCAGAGATTTGCCACCTTTTTGATGTAGATGTTTTGCCCTAAAGTGCAACCTGAACCTCCCAAGCTGCAATTTCCACCCCCCCCAAGTAGTTGCAATCTGCTCCTGAAGCGGCTTGTGGCTTTATTCTCTTCTGGCTATAAAGCACCTTAAAGTGCCTTCCCCTGCCCTAGGCAGAACCCTCCCCATGCCCCCAGTTCTGGAAGATACTGTACCGATAGCACCATAGCTGCTTCCCTCCGGGGTGCTGGCTGTGATGGGGTGCGAAGACGTCATAATCCCAGATCCTGCAATGGAAACAGACCCAAAAGGGACAGTTAGTTTCATGTCAGTGCTTCAAAACACATCTCCAAGGTGAATACAAACATCTTGAAGAGCTGGAGGGGCTTGGGAAAAGCAGCAACTCTCCAAACAGATGGCAGTCTCCCTCTAGAGCATACTATGCCAAAGGGAAAACCTTGCTTTGTAACGTGAGGCAAGCCCATTCACTTCAGCCTCCCCAAACAAGCTGCCAGTTCAACTCACAGAAGCACAAGCCTCCCTCCAGCACCCTGTAGGAATCACATTATGGGGCTGCAAGACTTGGCAAATTCTAGAGCAAGTCTCATGATATTCAGAGCACCTTTATGGATTTCTAATTCTTCTCCTTCCCCGCCTCACACATTGATCTATTCAAATATTGCTACCTCCAGTTATCCCTGGAAGGGTCATAGACAGCCTTTGGCAAGACAGCTGCTACATAGTTCTAACCAAGCAAGTAGAAAGCAAAAGTTTGCCATGCAAAAAAGTGGTCACAATCTTGTGCTGATGACAAGAGGGGCAAGCCTTTGAGGGCTGGGAAGTCCCCACCTCCTGCCCGCACATCTGAAGCGAGGAGGGCTGCACCACTGAGTTGGGTTGCACTGGGACTATTCCCCACCTGGCTTCACATTCTCTCTTTTTGCCTGGTACCTGTTTGATCCCTCTGTGGTTGGGCTCAACTGCTGAACTGGCAGCAGACAAACACGTCAGGAAACACAGCCAGCTGAACCCCCCCTCACAGAGGGGTCAAATGCCCATCTCCCGAAACGGGAGGGAGCAAGAGCAGGAGGAGCGGGACCACAACTTCCAGTGGTGACAAACAGTGAGACAGGTCCAGCTACTTGTAAAACTTCACCCTCATAACAACATCATGTGGCCTGTCAAAGGGACGCAGAACATGGGATAGTATTTAAAGCCAAGCAACCTTACTGCAGCCTGGCAATGGCCTGGCTTCCCAAGCTGCATCTCTGGCTTCCCAGTACCTGATCTGTCCCATACTGATAGGCACAGGCAGATTCCTCTTTCCAGCTAGCAATTCTGGGCACTTCTGTAACACCTTGTGTAGTTTTTTTTAATACCATTTCCATTAGCCACATATGTAAAGAGCCCAAAACTTTTCCCTGCCCAAGCACAATTCCTAGGCAGGGGAGCACCCATAGAGTGATGACATTTGATGTTTCAAGTCCAAATTACTGCTTTCCTTTGACAAGTTCACTGTGCTTGTTGGGCTGCGGGCTAAGACTTGGCCTCCATTTCAGCTTCTCTACCCTCCTTGCCCCATCCCTCTGGCAGGGCAATGAACTGCTAGGAGGAGCATATGAAGTAGACAACAATGGCATGGATTGAGCACCAGAGGGAAGGCTCTGGCACGCCGCAGCCCCCGACATGACACCCGTTCAGCCCTGGGGTGGGATTAGCAGGATATTTTTGTAGGTTGCTGCAGGAACAAGATCCACCTTCTACTCTTCACCTACTGTGCAACCCTCCCTCTCTCGTGGCAGTTTTTTGCTGTTGCTTTAAAGTCATTTGGAAATCCAGATCATTGGGAAGAGGGCGAGAGAAGCATTTCCCCATGTTCATGGCACCAAGGCACATGCACACTTCTTTCTCCCATCAGTCCTGTCCCACAGGGACACTTCCTTCCTATTTTAGGCCAGGCTTTATGCTCTCAAGTGACTTGTCAACCTTCTCTCCCAAGTGACCAAGGGAAGATTTAAATCTGGACAAAGTAGGGAGGCCAGGGAGAAAAAGCACTCACCCTGTCTCTAACAGCTGCTTCAGACCCAGCTCACCCACTAATTTCAGTCCCACTTCCCAGTGTGCAAGTGAGTCAGCAAAGTAAATGTACCACACTAGGTGTGGTTCTTCCAGCTATTGCCTCCACCAGATAGAGATGATGTGGAATGGGAGGTGTCCCACATTATTTAAAAAAAAAAAAAATTAACCTCAGAAGCTGGGCATAAGATGGGCAACAGGAACAAAGGGGCACATGAAGTTGCAGGATATTCAAAGACAACAGGCAAAGACAGATTGCTCAGCACCTGCAACCACACTTTCTTGGTGGGGAAGGGGAAAGGAAAGGGGAGTGATAGAGAAGGTGAGATCCAGGGGTACTTTGGGGGAAAAGACATTCCAGTGGGTGGGAAGAGGAGAGGAGAAAAAAAAAAAAAAAAAAAAAGAGAAAGTTAGTGTGCCCTGGGGGACCTGGAAGACAGATGGAACACCTTTCCTATGAAGAAAAGCTGAGAGAGTTGTGGTTGTTCAGCCTGGAGAAGAAAAGGCTCTGGGGAGAGACCTTACTGTGGCCTTTCAATTTTGAAAGGGTGCTTATAAGAAAGATGAGGACAGACCTTTCAGCAGGGCCTGTAGTGACAGGACAAGGGGTAATGGTTTGAAACTGAGAGTCAGACTAGATATAAGGAAGAAGTTTTTTATTATGAGGATGGTGAAACACTGGAACAGGTTGCTCAGAGAGGTGGTAGATGCCCCATCCCCGGAAACATTCAAGGTCAGGTTGGATGGGGCTCTGAGCAACCTGATCTGGTTAAAGCTATCCCTGCTTATTGTGGGCGGGTTGGGCTGGATGATCTTTGGACATCCCTTCCAACCCAAAGCATTCTATGAGTCTATGACAGGGAAGATGCTAGTTACCATTTTATAGGCATCAGTCAGTCACAAACCCTGAAGAGACACAAAAGAGAAAGAAACAGCATAAGGGTAGGACATGGCTCCTCCCCAGAGGAAAGGACTCTGTGAAGGTGGCATAGAGTACAAGGGAGAGGACAGGTCACAAAAGGAGCAAGTGCCTCTGGGAACAAACCTGTAAACTCTGAAGGAACTGCACTGCCCCATCCTTTCACAGGGATACCGTTCAACAATCCTCCCTGCCCAGGAACCAGTTCTCTGCCCTCCAGATCTGTGTTAAGTACAGCATCTGTGCCCTGCAGCTTCTTTAGGAACTTTCCAAGCACCAGAATTTAACTTCCACCTCTCACCAGGGCAGCTTGGAAAGCAGCTTCTAAGCTGCCTTCAGCACTTGAACCCTCAGCTGCAGCACCAGCAGCATTCCGTGGGGCTTCTGGTCTCCCAGCTGAGACTGCTCCTCTTTGCCTTAGACAGTGATCCCTTGTCACCAGCCTGGAGCTCTTCCAGGGCCTTGGTCAGGTCCTTTCAGCTTCCCCAAACTCCCCAACACACAGGCCCTTCCCATTTCGCCAGTGCCCTAAGACCTGCTCTTGTCTCACAGCAAAATCCACCCCAAATGACTTAAAATCAGAATATTTTTAAGCACATTTTTACAGTCCCCTGCTCATTTGGTTGTGAAGAAAACCTTTCACACACATTCCACACACAGGGATGCCTATGTAGAGCTCAGTGGCTGAAGAAACCAGGTCCTTGGCAGAAATATTAACCCAAGTGATGCCAGGTCAGAGAGAATTTCCACTGCTGATCCTTTAAGCACAGCTGAGTTATACTAGTATGCTTAATCTGGTGGTATGTAGCAGACTGGAGAGACTGAAGAAGCTGGGTATTAAAAAAGGGAACTCACCAAGAATCATTCAGTGCTGCCAAAACATAACAACCTCCCTTTCCCCAGGAGAGGTACAAATGATGATGCCTTTATCCTCAGACCAATGCTTTGAACTACTTTGCAGGCACTAAATATTTAAACAAAATGAAACTGCCAGCCTCCCACACTTCTCCAGAAAGCAGAAACTCCCAGTGCCCCCCGCCATCCACATGACAAAAATTTCCATCTTTCACTGGTAGCCTTTTAGATGCAGCTATGTTTTTATAACGCACAAATCTGCAGTATGTTGAAACATGGGTGCAGCATAAAGTAAACTGAATCTGATACCAAAGTAAATAACACAAACACCACTACCTAACTGTATTAGACATTCATTCACTTGGTTGTCTGAAACTCCCAGTTAAAAACAAATTAAAATTTAAATTAAATTAAAAAATTAGAGACCCCATGCTTGAACCAGGCAGAGGAAATCTTAAAGCATAAGAGCTGACAAACTCAAAGTGCCTTGTTTAGAAATGAACAGACCTGGTAACATTAGCTTGTAGGCAGGTCTAGCCAAGGCTTGCCCTTTCTCCACCCTTCTAAAAGCCAGCTCCTCAGGGCAGGGGTAAGGACCAGGTTCAGGGGAGCCTGCTGCAAGTGCCCTCTCTTGTGAGGGCAGAGAGGAAGCTCTAACATCTTTCATCAGCACCAGAGACTATGTGGTACATTTACAGGAAAGAATGCTTGAAGGGACAGAAGGTACTTGACTGACAGTCTGCCCTTGCCTGGCCTGGAACATGTGCCGTTCACTTAAAGCTGTCACACAACAGAAGAGAGACCTTACCATCCTCAGGACTCAATCTCCCAGCTGAAGCCTTCCTCCGAACCCTGAAAAAAAGAACAGGCAGCACTCATGAGATAGACAACAAACCCCATCACCTGCCAGCCATGGCAGGATTATCTAGGACACCAACATGGTGCAAGCTCTAAAAAGCAAGCAAACAAAAACCTAACAAAAACAAACAAACAAAATACTGTTTGGGCAAGGCATGGCTCAGCCATGACTGCTTGCTGTCCACCTCTCAGGCTTCCAAAGTAATGGAGGGTTTTTTTTACCCCCTCAATTATCCACCAGAGGCAGGACAGCCAGTTATATGTGCATGTTGGGAGAGACTCTCAGACCATCTTCCCAAACCAAACTGCCCAGCTCAGGGGACCAAGCACATAAGAATCTACTTAAAGGGTAGCAGGAACCAGAGGCACACACGAGCACAATGCTTAAGATGACAATACCACCTCCTTCAATGCAGGTGCCAAGCCAGGGAGGGTAGGAAAAAAAACCCCATATGCTCATAACAAAGAAAAAAATAACAGCAAAAAGAGCACACACACTCAAGTAATTTCATTTAATTGTTCCAATGAAATGTTGTTTCATTGATGTTTCTTGAAGTTAAGCCATGGTCCCATCTTGAAATTGTTTTGCTTCATAGTACCAAACTTTTAAGATCCCCTCTTCTGAAGCAGCTGAAAAAAACTCTGCCACGTTCAGTCTGAGGAGCTGGCTGACAAATATGGTTCCCACAAAACCAACCTGCTATTTGCCAAAAGCTTTATATGGCTCTTCTCATACCAACCTTTGCCCAGCAGGGGAGGAACGAGTGGTGAAGAATCCTCCCTACTCTCAAGTCTCCACAGTTTGGACAAAGGATTTGCTTAACCATTGTCACTGCCTACACAGGCAGCAGTGACAGATCCCAACAAACTCCACCATCCCCAGCACCTTAAGAGCACCTGACCACTGCCCCACCAAGGTTCTCATCCTGTGCTAGCAGTTACCTGCCCTACAGGAGCAAATCCTACCTCCTTTTTAGTCTGTTGTCCTTTTCCTGCCCCTCCAGTCCTGCTCTCACTTCAAGATCACCTCCAGTGAGCCAAGAACCCTGGGGCAACTGGGAAGAGTTTTGCTTCCTCCCCACCTCCTGCCAAGAACAACCTATCATGATAGCTGTGCACAAGTTCACCTCAGTTACAGATATTCCCCTCAACACAAGCCCAAGCATCAAGGTCTGGGGCAGGGGAGGCAGGTCAGGAAGGAAACCAGCACTCTTGGGACTCCAAGGCCCTATTTGGGTCACTGCCACTTACTGACACTTATTGCAGTACTCAGTCCAGCACTCGGGGAAGTACCTTTGTTCCTCAGTGCTCTGGCACCCCATATCTCAGACTGGCCCCATCACAATTCCCACCTGCCACCTAGTGTCCTCACACAAGGAAACCCAAGGGTAGGGGCACTACAAAAGCTAGAGGGCACAGCCTTAGATTTTTATCCTTGCCATGATCCCCACAGCAGAGGAAGAAAAGTTTTCTGGCTGGTGGTCTGTAGGAGCCCACTGAATAGTCATGGACTTGTCTGGCTGCTCTGTTCAGATGCTTGCCACCCCACTTGCCCTGAATTCACTGCAGGGTGAGGCATCTCTGACGATGAAGAGAGACAGAAATGTTGTTCTTGTAAAACCCCTCAACTCACCTGATATAGTGCACAAAAGCAACCACCACTGAGCCCAAGTAAAAGGAGAGGAAACTCAGGAAGCTGAAGAACATGGCCTGGACATAAACAGACTCTGAGGAAAGAGAAGACATCAGTCAGCTCACAGAGCAGGGACAGCCCCTCTCAGAACCAGCTCTCCTGCCCTGCTCTTCCCAACACCACCTGGTGACAACACCCAGCCCCAAACAGTCCTTCAAGACCCATCTTCTTTCTTCAAGAGGAATCGCCAGAACCTGTTGCAAGCTACTCCCCCCATTTCTTCACTCCCAGTGCTAACTGGTGTGCCTCTGAGACCACCCTGTGCTACACAACACCTCCTGGAAGGGACCAGGACTGCAATGGTTTTGAGTCCTCTGCTGGTGCTTTCTGCACCATCCCATCAGAGGGCTGCCGGCCCAGGCATACTCTCCTACGCAAAATTGCCAAGTCCCCCCACAAAGCTGCATTGCTCTGCACAAAGACACTGACTTTTAATAGAGGGCACAATTGTCACTTGAAGGTTCTTTGTCCGCTGCAGGTTCCAGGTGCGGTTGACATTCCCTGTGAGAGGCAAAGTGTACAGCAAATGTAAAAACAATCAAACATTAGTGATCTCTGGCCCTTATCTCAGTTCTCTGCACTTGCAAAAACACCAGAGTCTGGCTTTTCACTAAAATCTGTGTGTGGTTTTACTCTAAACCTTTCCCAGACTTGTCAATGTACAGCCTTTTCCATATGTTTCCCCCACCTCCCTTCTATCCACAGCCTGTTTTTCAGCCTAGAAATCACTGCTTGAGTCTTCCATACATTGCTCAAATCTGGATGCCTGAATCCCACAGGTATCTCATCTCCTATTCATCTAGTCCCCAAAGGGCAGTTTCTGTCACTACAAATACTGGGACACCATTTTTGCCTTTGGCCAAAACTCTGCTGGCAAAACACTTCTGTGCAGCATGCCATGCTAGAGTCTTGTTATGTTTCAGCAGGGCTTAGCACACCCTGCCAGTACAGCTCTGCGGACAGCTTTAGGATAAGAGAAAGACACCTGGAAGGTGACAATTCTCTCTTAGGGTGGGAATTGGGGAAGCCCAGTGTATCTGTTGTTTGCAGTCTTGCTTCTCCTACAGGGAGGGAGCCATCCAGCTTTGAGGATAGGAATGTCCTTGGTCTGAAATGGGCTCAGATTGTCATGGGGTCACCTGCACCCCGACTCCAGTTTCACCCATCGCGTGAGTGGTGGAGGCTTTGCTTTTACCACTGCCCAGGAGGTAGACACAGTGTTCTCTGGCTGGGAAAGGTACTAGAACAAGTCTCTCATAAGATTATTTCCCCCCAAATTACTAGTTGTTCCTGCTTTCCCCTAGTGGGGAGGCTGTCATAGATCCCAAGGTAACAGCTGGAGAAGGTGGTCGCTGCAGGAACTGCCATCTGGGCCTCCCTGCAGGCAGGGACATAATACACAGCAGTAGGGAAAAAACCACAAAAAGTTGTAAGCAGCACTGCTTGGGTGTCTCCAGCATCTCCAGTGACTCCTCAGAAGAGCACATAGCCCCAGCAAGCCAGGTGCTATACTAGCCAGCCACTTCCAGGGTTGATCAAGACTTTTAACCTACCCAACAATATTAAGCTTATACTTCACTCGTCCTCAGAGCTACCTGGATAAGATAGAGCTATATGACCATCCTGTGTCATCCCACAGGAAGGTCCCCAAGGACTCCTGCTGCTCCACCACCTGGATGCAGCCACAAAATCTGCCTCCCAGAGCAACTTACCATGAATGGAGGAAGGCACAGAACCCCCACAGGCGTAATCCTCTGGCTTGATGACAAACACAACAAAGAACTGCTCACCCAGGAAGTCCTTTCTCTGCATGGGAGGACAGAAGATGACAGAACCCATGAGAAGTGAAGCAGCCTCTCCCTCCAATGCAAAGCAGAGGTGATGATCTCCACAGGGCCAGAGATCAGGTTTTAGTTGCTACACAGGCACCAGCCTTATGGAGACCTGTGTGTTCGGGACAGAGCTTGGTTTCTGGGGATGCTCCCCTCATCCTGGCTGATAATAAGCTGAGTTCATCAGTACGCAGTACAGTAGTACCCCAGTACAAGCAAACCAATGCTAATGCATTTATTTATTTATTTTAATTAGTGCAAGACATCTACCTAAGCTTTGCTCATTATAAGGCTCTACTACCACCACTTGGTGGTAGAAGAACCAAGGTTCAAACAGAAGACACCTGGCTGCAGCCACGCTGATCTAGAGCCTCAGCACCTAAGCCGTAACGCACCTACCTAAGCAAAAGTAAACAAGGTTTTGCAGTAAAAGGTAACATCTCTTCTTCTACCGATACCAGCTATCTAATAACAAAGGAACACAGCCATACCAGAATTAACAAAATAAAACTAGGGATGCACAGGACAAGCCACTGAAAAAAAACCCAACACTGGGACAAAAATCAGCATCTCACCTGCACCGTTATGGCTGCCTGCTTTGTCATAGACTGGTAAACACCGTTGAACTCTACATTATGGTCCAGGTCATACACTGGGCACTGAAACAGATACAACTAAGGGTTAAACCAGGGACAAAACCCAAATGAATTTCATAAGGAGCCAGCAGGAGAACAGACAGTGCAGAACAGCAGAAAAAGGCCCCGCTTGGGATGACAAAGGGAACAAAACAATGAGTACCCATTCAGAAGTTAGAAAAGCTGCTCTGAAGACACCAGCTGTGGCCTGCACTCACTGATCTAGGCA